AGTAGATTTTTTTTTTCAATAGCATCACCGTGAGATGATGCTGGAGCAATAGCACAGCGGTAGGGCGTTTGCCTTGCACGCAGCCAACATGGCCGACCCGAGTTCAATTCCTCTACCCCTCTCGGAGAGCCCAGCAAGCTACCGAGAGTATCTCACCCGTACAGCAGAGCCTGGCAAGCTACCCGTGATGTATTCGATATGCCAAACACAGTAACAACAAAGTCTCCAATGGAGACGTTACTGGGCCCGCTCGAGCAAATCGATGATCAACGGGAGGACAGTGACAGTGACACCGTGAGATAGAGCATTACAAAGCTATTCATGATTGGGTTTCAGTCATATAGTGTTCCAACACCCATCCCTCCACCAGTGTAATTTCCCAGCATCAGTGGCCCCAGTTTCCCTCCCACCTGACTCCCCATCCCCAAACCACCTTCCCGATTTGTATTGTTTTGTATTGTTCATTCGGAACTTCCCAGAGAAATACATTGTGTATGGGATCATTTGGACAGTTGCTAAAGAATTATCTATAGCATAGAAGTCCTTTCACTCTTTAAGTTACGTGAACATTAGATGAAACCATCATGAAAGAACTTCCTCATTGCAAAAATGGTGCCTGGGTCAAAGATTAGATGATGGCCAAAACGTTTGTTCTTGGCAGAGTTCCTTAGTGAGTTGGGCTGAACAAAATTTTCTGTTCTCTTACATTGAGACTCAATATATATGTCTCTATCTGTAATTTAATCTTGGGTTGGGTTGAGGGGGCTGGAGAAATAGGGCATTTGTCTTGCATGTAGCCAACCAGGTTCCACCCCTAGCATCCCATGTGGTCTCCTGAGCACAGCCAGAAGTGATTCCTGAGTGCAGAGTCAGAAGTAATCCCTCAGCATCGCTGCATTTACCACCACCACCCTCCCAGTTTAAAAAAGAATAATAATCTTGGGTTAGTCTGCAAGTTAAAAAAACAAGTTGAGCTGACATTTAAAAACTGAGCTGCCGCCTCCTCATGTGTTCCAATCATGGCATGTGGGGTGCTTCGTAGCTGCACCTCATCAGCACAGAACTCATCAGCACATGGTGAGCTAATATCATCATGAAATGCCCCCATTTGCTATGTTAATCATAACCCGGGGAGAGTTAAAAGGAGATTTTTCTTAGCAGTGGTCCTAGTAAATTATTGGGAACCTATTGTCCATAAAGCACCCAGAAGGAAACTGGCCCTCATCCCTGGAGATCATCAACAGTCGCTCATTTTGAATAGCTCCTGGCTAATTCACAGTGAGAGCATTTCAACTCAGGGCTCTGTCAGTAATCGATGCACTTAGATCCTTCTCCTGTAGACTCTCATATTCATTCTTCAGAATACATGCCTTAGAGCTTGTGCTTGTGACTATTGTTGTGGTAAGTTCTTTTCAAAGGCCTTTTCTTGATCTCAGAACTTTGTGTGTTGAATGATAAGGGGATGGTTTGTGTTGGCAAAGAGTGAGCCTCTCGCCCTCCCCTTGGTCCCAGAAGCTGTCATTCCTGTGTACGTGTTCCCCTGGAGGGAACCATCCCAGAATCAATATTTGTATAGGATACTTTCCCTGGTCTTGCCTTTACTCTGATCAGATAAAAGGAAAATGAGCCTGAAAAATCTAAATAATGGCTTCTTCCTCTTCCCAGCACTGGAGCTGCATAGCTAGGAGGCATGATTAGAGAAACAAACTCCTTATTTATTCCTTGACATTAATCTTCCTGTCAAAGGACTTGCAGAGTGCTACCTTCTATGACTCTGTATTTGATACATGTCATCTGAGGAGGGGATTTAAAAAATCCTTGGAAATTTAGGATAACTCTTATTTTCATGTAATTTATATGAACCAAGTGGAGAAAATGCATTATTGGAATCATAGTTTTTCAGAATTTCCAAGAAAATGTTATTTATGTGTTGGAGGAAGTCAGACATTTTTTTCATTGCTGCTAAGATTGAGTCTCCTCACCCCCATTCCCAGAATTTAGATGATCTTAATTATGAAGATTAAGAAAGATTGTCAAATCTTAATTTGATGATTTTCCTACCTCTCCTTTTGTTAACCAAGGTAATGACAAGCAATAGATTTGATATTTAAAGATAGTATCAATAATTACAGCAGTTTTGAGGAAACTTAAGACTATATTGTCCCCAAGTTGGTTTTTATGCTAATTTGTTCTTTTTATTTTTTTTTTTTTGCTTGTTGGGTTACACCTGGCTCATGCACTCAGGAATTACTCCTGGCTCATGCACTCAGAAATTACTTCTGGCGTTACTCCTGGCTCATGCACTCAGGAATTACTTCTGGCGGTGCTCAGGGGACCATATGGGATGCTGGGAATCGAACCCGGGTCAGCCGCATGCAAGGCAAACACCCTACCTGCTGTGCTATCACTCCAGTGTCAAAAAATTAGTGTAACTCTCAATCTCAAAAACTGTTGTTCATTGTCCTATACCTTCTATGTCATAGGCAGGAAAAGTAAATACTTATATTCCAGAACATTGTTGCTTGGGAAACAAAAACATTAATTTAGTCAGTAAAATACTCTAAAATTAGAAGCCAGAGAGATAGTATAGCAGGTAAGGTGCTTGTTTTGCAAGTAGCTGGCCTATGTTTGATCCCCAGCACTGCATATGGTTCCCAGATGCCCTTCCAGGAATGATTCCTGAACACTCAGAGCTAGGAGTACGCCCTGAGCACTGCCAGATATGACCCAAATCAAACAGTGCTCAGAAATTTAATTGTTGATGAGGTTAAAGCTTGCTTGCTTGCTTTATTTATTTATTTATTTATTTATTTATTGCTTTTTGGGTCACACCTGGCCATGCACAGGGGTTACTCTTGGCTCAGCCCTCAGGAATTAGTCCTGGCAGTGCTCAAGGGACCTTATGGGATGCTGGGAATCAAACCCGGGTCAGTTGCGTGCAAGGCAAATGCCCTACCCACTGTACTATCTATTGCTCCAGCCCCACGATTAAAGCTTTAAAGAGCAAAAATCTAAACAAAGCGTAAATTGGTTGTCAAGACATGCATGGAACGTCACGTGAAAAAAGTTATCCTGCACTGACAGGATAATCAGCTTGCCCTGCAAGAAAATTGCTCCTCATTATAGAATGAGCAAAGACTTATTATTCCAGTTCTTTGAATGGTGTTTCTTGCTTCTACAGCCCATTCCATTTTTAAGTAGAATTTTGGATGTTATTTGATATTTGATTTCTCCCTTTGCATTTTTGCCTCTGGTTTTTCAGAGAGAACATGAGTGTTTTTCTTTGTTCTTAAGTTTCCTCCTAATCAGGCAACAGTAGCAACAGGGGACCCCCTTTGAACAAGTATGAATGGTGCTTTTTTGCTGAAATAGAAGGAGAGACTGGACCTTTTTGCCTTTCTTACTTTTCCCGTTAGACCTAAACTGGTAGGTAGAGCTGGTCCACAGAGTTTAACAGAAGAATTTCCTCCCCTTTTTTATTCTTAGCCATGAAAGTCTTAAGACTTCCGTAAGTGGGTGTAGTCAAGTGGTGCCTTTTTGGTCACCTGGAGAGAAATTATTCATCATTCCCCATTGGTTTTTATAGCACAGGGCTGTGGGCTGGCCCCATGGTAAAAACCATAGAAAAGCGAAACGTCTCTGGAATGGATGTTTAATAAAAACGGACCCTAAAGCAAAGTCTTTCAAAGCACACAACACAGTGCACACTGAGCCCAACATACCATGGGTAAAGTCACTATCCAAGGGACTGGGGTTCAGTTCCTCCCGCTGTGTCAAGGTCATTGGCACATTCCATCCATGCTATCAAAAGTCTCAGCTCAGATTCATACTCTCCAGTCCGTTGGCACCTCCCCAGTTGGAGCCATTGCCACCTCTGGGGAAGACGATAGTCGCAGTGGCCTGACTGGGCTCCTTGCATCTCTTTTTTGTTTCTTTGAAGTCTGTTCTCCACAAAAGATGCCAGAAAGAACTTCTATGAACATGCATCAAACCCTGGAACCCCCAGTTTGAAAACCCCTTGTACTTGCATTTTCAGCGAAGCTCTGAATGCACAGTGACCTATGATTGCACATGGTTCTCCTCTGCCATGGGTGATTAGGCCCAGCCTTCAGGCCTCAGCCCAAGTAGTGCTTCTTCAGAGATGCACCCTCTGTGCTTGCTCTCCAAAATGATCTAGTGAGTTTTTTGTCATTCCGACTCATTAAAAAAAATTGTACTATGGTTCATAGTAATAGTTATTGGTTCTCTTCTCTATTAATATGTCTCCTCCACAAATCCAGGACCTTATCTGTCTTGTTCAGAGGAACAATCCCAAGTGCCAGGTTCATAGTATGTGCTCAGTAAATGCTAAAGGCACAAGCTCTAGACAATGAAAAAGTCACCAAATCATTGCAACATAACCTGACAGAACTGAGCTTATCAGGGGCATGGGAGGAAAATATATGTGTGGATGGGAGGGGATCATGAAACAATCATGAAGGGAAGTGGGCTCTCAGGTGGAAGGGTGTAAGCATGAACCCCTGTCATGAACAGTATTGTTGATCGCAATGCTTCACCTTAAAAAAATTGCATGAAGTGATCCAACTGCAAAGTATTTTGCTTCCTTTATTATGTAACACTAAACCATCAGCCAAAGTAACAGGTTTTAGAAAACTATGATGTCCTCCTGTGGACCTGACATAAGTCTTTGTTGCCCCTCTCCAGCCCCTGCCATGCACAACTCTGACCTGGTTCTATTTGGATTGGCTTAGGGGAGAGGAGAATTGAGGTCTGAGTTTTCCACAGCCACTGATTTAATCAATTAGAATATTATACATGAAAATGGACCCAGAACCAGGAAACTTTACTCCCTAGCAAATGATGATGCTTACATTTTGTGACTCTACCTAAAATAATTTTTCTTCCTGCCAAATAGCTGTTGGAAAGGAAAATATCTGAAACCACCTTCTCCTGCTGCTCCTTTTGTTTGATGTCTTTCTTATTCTTTTTTTTTTTTTAAGCGCTTGAACAAGATGAGGAAAACAGTGAGAAGCACGTTCCTGGCACAGAAGGAGAAGGTGTTCTGGATTCTCGGGTAAGAAGGATCCCGGGACCTGCCCTCATCATGCCCTCCTGTGTGCAGGTTTGCCTGTTTGGGTTCTGCAGCAATATCATTGGGGGGAAAGTGGACAGACCTGCAGTAAGCGTTTTGCAAGGACACTTACATGACCAACCTTATTTGCAATTTGATTCCTGGGGCAATGGCAGGGAGGATAGTACATGGAGAGCCCAGAGAAGGCAGAAGAAAGCATACTCGGCACTCAAACACTCCCAGCTGGTATGGCACTGGGGACTGGGTCTGGGCCATGGCTCTGATGCCCAGAGAGACAGGGTGCTAACCCCAGGATCTAAGTCCTGGCATAGACATGCTGTGGTAGTGACTTCCCTCTCTGCCATTGTGCTGAGGTTGTAGCTTTTGTACATGAGGCTCTGGGTTGGCTCCCGACCCTGCTAGCCTCCACCCCCAGCACTGCTGAGTCTAGGCCCTTTGACCACATCAACAAGAAGAAGACTGTTGTGCGGGGCTTAAGAGAGAATATGGCATGCAGGGCACTTGCCTTGCAGACAGCAAACCTATATTTAATCCCTGGCACCCCATATGGTTGCCTGAATACCACCGAAGTGATCCCTGAGCACAGAGCCCTGAATGCAGAGCCAGAGCACCCCTGGGTATGGTCACAAAACAGAACAAAACAAAATGTTACACGGTAACTAGTTCAGGCCCCTTAATGAAGCCCCCTGTTCACTACAGAAAAGCCAGTGATTAAAGAGCTCCATTTGGCTGACTTATTGTACTTCCCTGTCAGAGCATGACTTCTTGAGGCTAGGAGATAGAACAGTGATTGGAGTGCAGGCCTCTAGCATGTGCCCGAGCTGGATTGGGCAGAATTACATGGTCTCTAAAGCATCCCTGGGTGTAGCTCCAGAGGCCTTAGGCACCACCGGGGAGGTGGTAGAGTCACAGGACCCAAGCAAGGTCGTGTCCTCAGGCTCCTGCATTGAATTGCTGGCCAAGAATTTCTTATGGCGGGGCTGGAGTGATAGCACAGCAGGTAGGGTGTTTGCATTGCACATGCCCAACCCGGTTCGATTCCCAGCATCCCATATGGATATAGTCCCCCAAGCACCACCAGGAGTAATTCCTGAGTGCAGGAATAACCTCTGTGCATGTGTATCACCAGGTATGGCCCAAAAAGGAAAAAAAAAGAATCGCTTGTGGGGCCCCCAGTTCTCCTGGGCACTGCTTAGGCATACCCCCCCACGCAAACACAATTAATAAATCAGTCAAAAAGTAAAGTTACATTTTGATTCTGGCCAGAATAATCATATTCATTCTTTCAGCCAAGATTATGCAGGTTGCCACGTTTTCATAATTTCATGCAAGGAATTGTGTTTTGCTATGATGGTTTGCAATATTCTGCCATCCACAAATTCATGGTAAAGTTCTACTCCTGAACACTGAGCTCACCTGACATGGACTCCACCAAGTTCTTGCCGTTGACACCGTCCCAGAGATTCATTGTTAAATTATTCGTGAGGACAGATGTTTCTCAGCCCAGATTCTTTTCTTTTTCTCTATTTGTTTTGAACTCGTTCTGTAGGCAAAAAAAAAGAAAGAAAGAAAGAAAGAAAGAAAGAAAGAAAGAAAGAAAGAAATCTGCCAAGTGCAGTCTTATTTCTCTGTGTAACTCAAAAGAATGCCCAGACCTTGTTCTTTGGGGATTTTGTGGTTTTTCTTCTATAGCACTGACAGAAACACGTATCAACAGAACGAACAGCAGAATGAAATCATGAAAGCAGTGGGCTGATAATTAGAGCAGGAACAGATTCTGTGTGAGTGTGAAAGTCAGGAGTTAAGTGCACTAGGAGGCATCATTATGAGTGTCGCAGGCCTGGGCTGTGTGGGAAGGCAGACAGCTGTCATTTCCTCTGATGTGTCTGAGAAAGCTTGATCTGTTGCCTCAGACACAGCACCGGCTTCGTTGGTTTGATCCTGCAGTTCCGTCTCTACCCATACCCGGGAGACTCATCAGTTGCTCACATCAGCTGAGCTAGAAGAAAGTGTTCAGAATTTCTCCCTCATACACTGTGGCAAGAATTAGACAGGAATGTCTGTATGTGCCCATGGGTGTACTCGTGTGTGAATGGTGCACAGAAATTTCATTCAGTGTTTGATATAGAATGCAGCTCTATCATTGAACACCTAGAAGCCAAACTCTTAAGGGATTTTGGGGGCTAGGGGGCATCTTTGCAGTCTTCACTCCAAAAAAAATTTTTTTAAAGCTAAGTGGAAATCATTTTTGCATTTCTTCCTTACATGTAATGAAATATATCAAGATGAGGAAGATGCCTTGTGGCTGTCAAAAACTTGGGGTTTACAAAGGCTTATGGCCTTCACTGATACCAGAGAGATATTGCCTTGCACCAGGTTTCCCTCCTACCAGGAAACTGTAGTTCTTTGCTCTTCATACATTGACACCTTCTTCCTAAAACTGCACGCTTCAATGCAGTGACATGTGGGCAGAGGGAGGAAAAGGTGTAGACTTGAGTTTGCATCCCAGCCCTTCTTCCTTAGAACTGGCTTCTTGGAGTATGCATCAGTCTGTGCATTGTTGTAGTGCATTGTCAGGACCTTGGTCACCAGTGTTCCCACTGTGACAGGATGTGACCTCCACTTTTCCCTTTCATTGCTCTGAAGTGGTGAGGTTGGTGTGAGGCTGTCATGAAGTGCAGAAAATACCTGCTGTCCCGACACAGGAGTGTGTCTGGAAACACCAGGCAGCTCACGCAAGGCTTGAGAGTGGCATCCCCTTAAAATTCGCATGGAAACTCACTCATTTCCTGGCAGAAGTTGTCTTTGTAATGTCTTGCTTTAGTTCAGGTAGCCATCGACTACCTGGCTCTTCTCCAGGCTCTGTCTCAGCAGAGCTGGGAAACTAAAGCTTGCCTATTGGACTGCATTTCTTCTCAGAAACATACTGAACATTAACACTGATGCAGTGCTTCTGGTGCATTCCATACTCACACACACCCACTGAGTTAGATAAGATATTTACCACCTCTTTACAGATGAGCTAGTGAAACCGGACATTGAATCAGGGAAGCCTGGCTCTGATATACTCAGTTTTATTTTTGTTTGTTTTATTTGGGAGGCACACCGGGCAGTGTTCAGGGCTCACTCCTGACCCTATGCTCATGGGTTCCTCCTGGTGGTGCTCACGGGACCATGTGCAATATGGAGGCTCAACCTGGGATTGTCTTTATGCAAGGCAAGTGCCTTAACCCCTGGGCCATCTCCCGGACTCTATATTTGTTTTTAATCACTTTGTAAATTGCCTATCTAATATCTAGCGATATCTGTTGGGTTCTTTTGAAGATAAAATGAGGCAAGTAGAACAGTGCCTGGCACATAATAAGTGTTCAAAAAAAAAGGTTAACCTTAGTGACTTAGTGTGAGCATCTTGATCAACTGGCACTTTTTGCTTTTCAGTTTGACTAAGGTAGCTAATGTGAGTGTACGGCGACAGTAATATGTCAGTAATACAATACCAATGGTATCATCACATACATAAAACATTCTGGAGCATTCACCATCACTCTTTATACAGAACTAAGGGTTCAAGGATCTTTATCCAAATGTATTCAGTTTTTACCAGGGTCTAGCTTATGGGTTCTATAATGAGGTTTTTAATGAGTAATTTTTCAATTTTTGTAGGGCGTTTGCCTTGCACGCAGCCAACATTGGCCGACCCGAGTTCGATTCCTCCGCCCCTCTTGGAGAGCCCAGCAAGCTACCGAGAGTATTCGATATGCCAGACACAGTAACAACAAAATCTCCAATGGAGACGTTACTGGGCCCACTCGAGCAAATCGACGAACAACGGGAGGGCCTTTACCTTTACCTTTACCTTATTTTTTTAATCGAATCATTGTGAGATACAAAGTTGTTCATGACTGAGTTTCATGATTGAGATTCAAGCTTCCAACACCCATCTCTTTGCCAGTGTACATTTCTTGCCACCAACGTCCCCACCCCATCCCCTGCCTCTATGGTAGACACTTTTCTTCTCTTCCTCTGCCCCTCTCTCTTTTCCTTTTAGGCACTGTGGTTTGCAGTCCTGTTACCAAAAGGTTATCATGTATATCACTTTACCTCCTTTCAGCACCCAGTTTTTGTCCAGAGAGATCATTTCCAACTGTCATTGTCATAGTGGTCACTTCTCTGTCCTAACTGCCCCCTCCCTCAACCTCCCACACCGTAACAAACTTCCTATCCTGGACCAGTTCTCCTGGCTCTTGTTTCTATTTGGGTATTATTATTTTTTTAAATGAATGAATTTTTATTATTTATTTTTAAGATTGTATTATTGAATCACTGTGATAGAGCTTTACAAAACAAACACTGTCCTCCTATTGTTCATCGATTTTGCTCGAGCGGGCCCAGTAATGTCTCCATTTTGAGACTTGTTGTTACTGTGTTTGGCATATCGAATACATCACGGGTAGCTTGCCAGGCTTTGCCGTGCGGGTGAGATACTCTTGGTAGCTTGCCGGGCTTTCCAAGAGGGGTGGAGGAATCGAACCCAGTTCAGCCAGGCAGGCTGCGCACAAGGCAAATGCCCTACCGCTGTGTTATCTCTCCAGCCCAGATCTTTACAAAGCTGTTCATAAATTGGTTTCAGTCATACAGTGTTCCAACACCCATCCCTCCACCACTGTAGTACATTTCCCAGCACCAGTGTGGTTTGCAGTATAGATACCGACAGGTCATTCGGTATATCCCTTTATCTACTTTTAACACTCAGTACTCCAGTGTGATTATTTCCAACTATTATTATCTTCCTGGTGCCTTTTCTATCTTACCTACCTTCTGCGCCCCCCCCCCCACTTGTGGTTCATTCCAACCATTAACCTGTCCCCCTAGACCCTATTTTTCCTGACCCTGGATATGACTTCTAAATATATATATATATATATATATATATATATATAACAAAGAAACAAATGAATGTAGTCATTCTATATCTGTCCCTT